ACCACTGAGCCATACCCAGATTTATACCATTTCTTAAGTGGAAGTTTATGGCAGACCCTCCCTACCACATTGATATACCTCTCATTCTATAAGTGAGTTCTTTTATTATCAACTAATCTTTCAAGCATCATAAAATTTCCAAGTTAAAAAAAAAACACCAGTAGGTATTGCTTTGGTATATGTATATTTTCAGCTTGAGGAGATCCTAACTGAACAATAGTGTCAAGATTCTGTCATTCAAAATTAGAATACTCAGATAAATAACCTTATGTATATAATGATTCATGCTTCATGTTATATGAATTCCGGGAAATCAGCAACCAAACCCTGGGCATTACATAGGGTGTTGAGCACAATGAATATAACAGGACAAAGTGTTCAGCTTTTCAAAGGCCAATGGTCAGGTTTAGTGGTACTTTTTATATCTGCTCTGGCTTCTGATTTCCCATCAAAATTAATGTCTGCAGTGCAATTGAGCTTCTAAAATACATTGCAGGAAAGTGAAGTAAATAGGTACAAAGAGATCCTTTACAAGTGGTGCTGGTCACTACGGGAATATTGTTGTAATGATTAATTTCATGTGTCTACTTGGCTAAGGGATGACAAAATATTTGGTCATTATTCTGACTGTGTCTGTGAATGTGTTTTTATGTGGCTTAACACCTGAATTGGTGGCTGAGTAAAGCAGATTGCCTTCCAATGTGGGTTTCTCTCATCTAATTGCTTGAAGCCCCAAAGAGGAAAAAATTCTAACCCTCCTTGACTAAGAAGGAACTCTTCCTGCCTGACTGCCTTGAGCTGGGACATCAGTCTTTTCTGCCATTTGAGTCAAACTGAAATATTGGCTCTTCTTTATTTTTTAAAGTATATTTTGTTGATTATGCTATTACAGTTGTCCCAAATTTTCCCTCTTTGCCCCCTCTGGCCAGTACTCCCTTCCCTACAGCAATCTCCCACCCCTTAGTTCATGTCCATGTGTCATGTATGTAAGTTCTTTGGCTTATCCATTTCCTATACTGTTTTTATACTCCCCCTGTCTATTTAGTACCTACCAATTATGCTTCTTTATCCCCACACCTTTTTCCCCCATTTCCCCCTTTCCTCTCCCAGCTGATAACCCTATAAATGATTTCTATATTTATGATTCTGTTCCTGTTCTGGTTGTTTGCTTAGTTTTCTTTTTAGATTTAGTTGTTGATAGTGGTGAATTTTTTGCCATTGTATTGTTCATAGTTTTGATCTCCTCCTTTTTCTTAAATAAGTCCCTTTAATCTTTCATATAATAATGGCTTGATGATGATAAATTCCTTTAGCTTTACCTTCTCTGAGAAGCATGTTATCTGCCCTTCCATTCTAAATGATAGCTTTGCTGGATAGAGTAATCTAGGTTGTAGATCCTTGCTTTTCATCACTTTGAATACTTCTTGCCAATCCCTTCTTGCCTGGAAAGTTTCTTTTGAGAAATCAGCTGCTAGTCTTGTGGGAACTCCTTTGTAGGTAACTCTCTTCTTTTCTCTTGCTGCTTTTAGTATTCTCTTTATCTTTAACCTTTGGCATTTTGATCATGATGTGTCTTGGTGTGGTCCTCTTTGGGTCCAACTTGTTTGGGACTCTCTGTGCTTCCTGGACTTGTATGTCTATTTTCATCACCAAATCAGGGAAGTTTTCTTTCATTATGTTTTCAATAAGTTTTCAATTTCTTCCTCTTCCACTTCTCCTGGCACACTTATGATTTGGATGTTAGTACATTTGAAGATGTCCCAGAGGCTTCTTATACTATGCTCATATTTTTGAATTCTTATTTCTTCTTGCTGTTCTGGTTGAATGATTATTTCTTTCTTATGTTCCAAATCATTGACTTGAATCCCAGCTTCCTCCCCTTCACTGTTGGTTCCCTGTAGATTTTTATTTATTTCACTTAGTGTAATCATCATTTCTTCCTTTATGTTGTAGCCATACTCAATGAGTTCTTTGAGCATCTTGATCACCAAGCCTGCTGGCTTTCAGACTAGTACCATTGGCTTTCCTAGTTCTCAGGCCTTGGAATGACACCATCAAGTTCCTTGGGTCTTCAGGCTCACTGCAGCTCTTGGGACTCTTCAGCCTCCATAGTACACGATCCAATTCCTTATGATAATCTATCTGTATCTATCTATATTTCCTTTCTTTCTTTCATCTATCTATCATCTCTCTATCTATCCTATTTGTTCTGTTTCTCTGGAGAACTCTAATATAGTTGTATTTTACAGAAAATTAATGGCAAATGGTTTATTCCTTTCCTAGTTCACTGAGTCATGGTATATCCATTGTTTTTCAGAGCTGAGGTCTCTTATCAAAGAAATAAAGGGGTTTATTTACAAGGACAAGTCTGTAGAAAAATGATAATGCTAAAGAAAAGTGACTTCATCATTGCTTAAACTTGTAATGGCCACATGATGTCTGCACATACCTCTAGGGAGTAAACAGACTTTCATCACTTTTTAGTAGGTATTTCCATCCCCTTATGAGCTCAGAGTTAGAAAAATGAGTAGGCAGAATAATCTGGCAGCTAGAAGGTCACTTCTTTCATAAACTCATTCCTCATCCTTCTTAAACTGCTTTCCCCATACGCAATGTATAACATAACTACAGCTAAAGGGAAAAAAATCTTTCCCTCCACCAATCTTAGAAAAGTTTCAGATAAACTGATGTTATCATTTTATACCTAAACAACTACTAGGGTTTTATAATTATTTATGATGCTGACAAGTCTCCCTGGGGAACACTTAATGGAAGGTTCCATATTACTGGATACCTCTGTTAGCAAAGGTTAATATTATTCCACCTGGTACTTTGTATGTATCAGTTAGTAGAACATACTATTTTGTATATTTAACTGGGTATCAGACTAAATTTGAAGTCTTGCCAGATCTGTGACAGTGGGCAGCTGAGGTTTGACACATGCCTTAGACATTGAGCATGATTACCTCATCCTCAGCATTGTTAACTACAGCTAACTACTGCAGACTATCAAATGGAATGAATGGATATGTCTTCAGATCTGTATCAATCATTTTCATACAACCACCTTTCTTCTATTTGTTTATATAATATTAAACATCGTATCTATGTATAATTTCTTATAATTCACACTTGATGGACAGTTACCTTACTTATTTTGGATTCCCCAAAAAAATACCCTATATAAAACAATCAACTTCTAGACCCTTACTATAGGTTTTGAAGTGGGTGGTAAAACTATCATTTTTCAAGAAAATTAAAGCTGTATGCATATGAAAAAATATCAAATGTGAGAAATATGTGTGATCTAGTCAAACACATGAATACTAGCTCATAGAAGCAGTATTAATAGTTCTGTAGGCTAGAATTCTACCTCAACTTATGCATAAAATAAGAAATACTAATTATTTTGATGTTAGGGTAAATATTCTTGATCTAGGGGTAAAAATTTCACAAAGTTGATATTTAAACCTCTTTGATAAATATATATATATATAACTGAATATTTTAATAAACACAGTTACAGGTATTAACAGAGGTATTTGTTAAGAGGTAAATGTTAATTTTTTTTAATGAATCTTGATTTAGTCTTTAGCCATAACTTATATCTGAAACTCGAGCTTGTCTTTCCTTGTGGCTTACAAAATCAGTCTCATTTCTTTCTAGTCCACTATTCAAATCATTGGCTCATTTTATTATCCATTTGAGGAGAACTAGTTTCCATAACTCAAAATTAAAATATTCTAAATGGGCTTTTCATTACATTTAAAAATAGATTATAGTTAAAGGTGGCACTTTGTAACTTCAGTTTCTCTAAACAAAATAAAGGCTACTTCACTCCTCCTTAGAAGGAGCTGAGGATTTTGACAGCTTTCCATTTCCCCATCTGTAACTTCTCCAGAAAAACCAGCCCATGAAGCAGAGGGGAAGAACTTCTCCAGAATGTGCATAGCATCCGCCAATGCACAGAGGCCCTTTTTGCCTGGATGCACTGTTTTTATGTTTTGTTTTGCTTTGTTTTTTCCAAGTGCTCTTTTGAGTGCATTTCCAGACTATGTAGATGGAAATAATAAAAATATGGTGATGAGATGAAATACAGAGAATTAATAATATAAAAATACTTTCATTCATGACATATGTTATATAGAAGATAAAGACTTATTAAAAGTTAAAAGTGTAATCAGTTCAGTTTTGAATTTCTCAAACACAAAAAGTAGAATCTAGACTATGATGATTATTTTGGACATTTGTCATGAAAATGTTATTAGATTTCACTCAAAATTGTTATAGCATCATTTTTTTCAATTTAAAAAAAATTACATGATCTCCTATGTTTATTTCATATATTTCTCATTTTATAAATACCGAAGATGACCAGGATTGAGAACCTAAGAGATTTGTCATTTATTAAAGTACAGTTAGGATGTAGGAAGATAATAATCACCCAAATAATTTTGATTTCAAAACAAGAGGAAGATTTAACGTGACCATCTTCCTCTGCCCAATGATCTCTTTCAGTTCCTATTGCTCCATCATCTGAAATTCATTCAGTTTAAAACTAAGGTTGGCAAAATGAGTGCTTTTTGAAGTGACAACATTTTAGGTTGTTAACTGTGTTTATAGGATTATCTTTTTGGATGCCAGGGCCAGGCTTTGCTCAGAAACACAGAGAAGACAGCTCAACACTCACTAGACTTCTGGGACAGGACATGCCAACCATAGAAACAGACCAGAAACAGCAGGTTCTGATCAGAGGACAATTCCAAATGCTCCATCCGTTTACCAGGGCTGGTTCCACTCACTAAAACCACAGAACATTCAGGCACAACCTATGCATGGACTGCATTTATTTTTAAATGTGAGGTCTCCTAAACATTTTAGTTGCTATGTAATGTTTTCCCTGTACTATCTCATCCTGCCCTCCATCTGGTTGATCTACTTTGTCTTATTTTTGGGACTTTACACATGAACATCCTAAAAGGATAAAAATCTTAACTTACCTGGTATTTGTGTTGCATTGATTGAACTCAGGTTCTCAGCTTTAAAGGAAAGAAAAGAAAATCGCCAAAATTAAATGCTGAATATCAAATCTATTCTCATAATTATTTCAGGTGGCAAATGAATATAGAACTTAGCTCATCTATGAATCACTTTCTCTGAAATAATAAAATCATAAGGCTTTATAATTAAAAGATACTTTAGAGCAAGGGTCAGCCAACTTTTATAGAAAGGGCCAAATAGTAAATTTTTTAGGCTTGTGAGCCATAAGCCATTGTTACGACTACTCAACTTGAGTGTTGTAGTGTGAATGCCACCATACATAATACCTGAAGTATAGGTATGTCTATGTGCCAATGAAACTGTACTTAGGAATATAGATGAAGGCTGGATTTGGCCTGCAATCCACAATTTGCTGAACCTTGCTTTAGAGCATCTGGTACAAACTCACATCTTGAATACACCAAGATAACACAGACAATTACAGATCCTTTGGTAGGTGCTCTATGTGTTGTATGCCTAGTAAGATATAATGCATCTCCTGACCTGGGGAAAATGCAGGAAGGTTCAGACAGATATCTTTGAAACTTAGGGAACTCCTTTAAAGTAAATACAGTCCATAAGAGTTTTGTACAAGTCAAATTACTTCAGATAATTATGATCAAATTTCACTTCAACAACTTTGAGTATATTCTCCATGAACAATATTTGCCATGTGGAAAATATAGAAAATATTTTTTAAACAAACAGGAGCCCAATGATAAATGTTTAGGGTATCCAATTGTTTCCTCTGTATCTTCACTTGACTGATATCTTTAAATCTGCCTTTTCCCCCACCTTCTTGGTTCAGGGCAGAGCTCAATAGTCCCCCAGTTGCACGACACCAAAAGTAGTGGCCTTTCACGATTCTCTTTTGTTTCTCACCTCCATCAGCTCTAGCTTCAAAATATGTTCCAAATATGTCTCACCACTTAATCGCCTTCTATTCATCTGGAACCCATATCTTTCCTCTTGGTAGCTACAATAAGAGCCATCTAGAAAAAATGTTTTTAAATTTAAACTTGGCTACTTCAGTAGTTCCTTATTCTTGTTATGGCTGGCAAGACTTTACAGGAAGTAGTCCCTGCCTTGTTCCTCAATTCACCTCCAACAAGTCAGCCCCTGTTTAGGTCAAAGTGAGGAGGCTCTTCCTGCCTCAGGCTTCTCTTCTGTCTTATGCCTCATTGTTGTTCTCTCAAGCTGACATCAGCTTCCTTCTACCTTTAATGACTCTGCTCAGATATCACCATTCAAATAACCCTCTTCCAACCACCGTATCTAAAGTTGTATATTCTTTCTCTTCACACTAGTCCACCAATCTGCTTCATTTGTTTAATAGTACTTTCATTACTACAGTGACATTCACTTTATTTTTTAAAAAATTTTGTTGTCAGAATGTAAAGTCCATGACACAGAGATTTCTTTTTTCATTTAAAAAATTTAAGTATAGTTGATATGTAATATTATATTAGTTTTCAATGTGCAACATAAACGAGTTGGCATTTATATACACGGCAATGTGATCACCATGATATGTCTAGTAACAAAAATTACGGTATTGACTCTATTCCCTATTACAACCTGTAACTTATTTGCTTTATTACTGAAAGTTTGTACCCCTTCATCTTTTTCACCTATCCCCCACCCCACACTCTTCTTGGAACCATCAGTTTGTTCTGTTTCTATGGGTCTGTTTCTGTTTTGTTTGTTCATTTGTTTTGTTTTTTAGATTCCATATATAAGTGTAATCATACTGTATTTATCTTTCTCTGCCTGCCTTATTTTACTTAGCACAATACTCTCTAGGTCCATCCAAGATTACTTGTTTTATAATAGTTCCAATGCCCACCACTAGGACATGGGAAAGTACAAGGTCCAGTACAAGTAATGCCCCATTTTTATTATAAAATCTTTTATTACCAAATCATAAGCATGTAATTCTGTAACATAACAATATTGCACACTCAAGAACACCATATGACATTTTACGTGAAATGTCCAAATTAAACTCTAAATTATTACACCCATATTAGCACCCTACCAACCACACTCAAGCAGGCATTACTTCTGCCAGACCCTGCAGATTCTACTAAAAAATCTGGAATGAATGAATGGGAATAGAAAACATTAGTAATAGTAACAATAATAAATAAGATTAATTATATATACCAAAATTTAAGGGAAAATTAATGCTTTGCTTAAAATATCTAGTTAGATAATCACAGCTACCAATTTTGAAGCACTCTTATGGTTAGTCCCATATATTATTTGCTGATGTCTCCAAGAAACATTCTCATTTTGCACATCTGCAAACATTTTCTGAGACAAGTGGAACTACTTTTGCAAGGGAGTACAGTGATTGTAATTCGGATCTCTTGGTTTTAATGTCGATCCTCTTTTAATAAAATAGACAGTTTTTCCCCCCCACTAAACTATTTTGAAAGGAAAGCTTATATAATTAAGTCCAATTTTCATAATACACACGTGTTTTGAGAACGGGCCAAGATCTGATCTATAGAGGAAGTGATTAATTCAAATTACAAATGAGTGTAGTGCATCCTTTTAACCTATTCTCAAACTTAGATGTTTAATAAAGACCAACATCTTAGTCAGGGTAGTTGGTGAATTAAAATCTGTTGAGTTTGATGTTCTAATATGAAACTAAAGTCTTATGAAATGCAAATGAAGTTCTAAACTGCTAAACTTTAATTCACATTAATCCAAAGCTCAGCTTTACTCAACTAATTTGGTTTCAAAACAGAAATTTTAAACAACAGTACAACAAATAACTTTGCTAAATATTCTTATCTGAGAAAGGATATTGTGTTTCCAGTTATATAGAGCTGTATATAGTTATACACAAAATATCATTAACAGGTCCAGGAGAAAAAAAATATACAGTTATTACAATTCTTTACTGATTTGCTTAAAATAATTTACTATAAACAATTAAATTTTCCTTATTATTCCTCCATACATGTTATTGTCTGAATCATTTTATGTGAGATTATTTCTCATTTGTCTGAACCATGATTTGTGACTAGGACGCTGTTATCTTGAGGATTCATCTTGCATCTGTTCACAAGAACTGATACAGACTAATTAGCATATAAAAACATTATGATAAAGTTCCCAAATAAGTGGCATAAATAAATCATGCCATTTACAAAAGAAATAATGAGTCTGAGAGATCAGATGAATTTTCCGAAGGTTTTCCAAAGGATGAGATGCATAGCACTGTGTGAGAGATTCTGTAAGGTGGTACTAGAAAGTGGTATTAAATAACATTGAAACACTAAATAGGAAGTTATTTCTTTTTATTTTTCTTTCAGTTTATTTGATTATTTCAATGAGGAAATTTGAAAACTTCAGTTTAATGCAAGTATGTCATTAATAACTACCTTGCATTTACCTTGACATTTTTTTTTCTTGTTTTCAGGAGAAAGTGAGAACACAGTCCAACACTACCACAAATGATGCAGATGGGTTGCCCACATTTGGGGAAATTGCAGGGACCAACATGTCCAAAGTGCAGGGGATAAGCCTGGCCCTGGGAAAACACCTTCGTGATCATGGTATCTCCCCTGCCAGGTATTTGACTAATTTTTGTAAAGAAGGACAAGCAAGCCTCACACTCAGAGCCTTTGGCGAGCAACAAAACCTAGCTAGAACTTAATTGTATTTTGCTTACATCGTTGTGATTTTATAGCTCTTGCTTATGCCAAGTGAAACTGGCTTTTCATTTATGGTGGTTTTCTTTTCCAACAAATTTAAGAATAAAAAGTGCATAATTTAAGAAAAGTACTAAATAAATAATAGTGCAGATGGTACACATATCTGGCAACACTCATTTAGTTGTGGGAAATACTGAGGTATGTATATAATTTGAATGAGATATTAGAAGAAGGGCAAGGGGAAGGAGAAATAAGGACCACATTAATGAGGAGGGCAAGAAACACACACACATGCAGAGTCAAGGACAAATCTGGCATATGGTGGACAACAGAGAGAAAAGCACCCTGGTCAGAACTGCAGGTTTACATTCTGTCAGCCAGTCACTCAGTTCATCTCTTGTGTTATATTTATTGAACACTTACTTGTCAAGCATATGATATACCCAATTAAAAGCTAGCTGTTTTCTACTTCCTTTAGAAACTTTACATAAAATATCTGTAATAAAATAAGTGTGATATAGTAAAGTTTATGGGGTTTGAGGCAAGAGAAACAAAGTTTGAATTTCATCTTTTTAATTTAACCCCAACCAACTTATTTAATCTTCTGAACCTGTTTCCTTATTTGTGAAACTGGTATCATCAATACTAACATTACCTGGCTTTTGCAAGGATATTTATTAATAAAACAATTGCTAAAATTTACTCTGTTTACTTGCTATATACTGTTTTAAGCTTTATATGTTTCATCTCTTTTAATATACATAAGAATCTGATAAGAGTATAATATTATTATAAACTATTTTATAGATCAGAAAATTGAAACACAGAGAAGTTGAGTAAATAAATGATTGTGCTATTATTTGACTCTAAGCAATCTGACTTCAGAATCATTATTTATAACCAAAAAAGCAAGTTTCTCTTGGCATGGTTAGAATGCACAATTTTTATTTTAAGAAAAGTGTGTTGCCCTTGAAAATCACAAGCTTGGGTGTAGGCTCTTCTCATGTTCAGCCAGTGATATTTCTAAAATGTCTACTTGGTTATTGTACAATTATCTATGCTTTTGTATAAAAATAAATTCCATATTAAACTAGGACAAATTATTCAAAAGGAAACATGATATAGACTTCTTATTATATATAAATGTAATTAACTCCTAGTTAGTAACCTACTGATTACTTATGTGTTATTCATTTCTACTTAACAAAAGCCAGATTTTCCCCTTCGGATTTTAAGACTGTAATATTGTATGTGCTAGGATAGCAGAAGTTCTAGATTAGAAAAATCAAAAAATTTTCTATTCAATAACTTGCCTTACTAGAGTTAGGTATTGGCATTTTGCTTGTCTCAATTTGCCTTCTACCTAAAATCCTATTCTATAATTATTTTCCCTTGGCTAAGTCTGAATTCACCAAAGGAAGATATTGCAGTAACATCTTTTTCCCTACAGTCTTTTACAGTATGCACCATGCTTGCTTTCAAATCTGGTTATTGAAACCTGAATGACTCATTTCCCAGCAAGAAAAGCATCTATTTTGCTTTCTCCCTTCCAGCCTCCTTTTCTTTTTCTCTTTTTTTGCTCAGAAATCATCAGGATGTGCACAAGAAATGAAAAAAGAAGAATCAGGGAGGATGCCATATTTTCAGACATTGGAAGAAATAGTGAACTCAGGCAGAGACAACTTGTAGTTTTATAAGAGTTTCAGACCTAGTCCTCCCATAGTTTAGATTTTGGAGGGTTGACTTTTCCATTAAATCACCCCTCAATGCCCAGCAAGGTACCCCTGCATATAGAAAATGACAAATATATTGATGATGAAACCCAGGTGTAGTAAGGGTAAATTCAGGACATGGCCTGGCATGAGTTAAGTGATGATACCCCTTTCTTACCTGTGCACTTGAAACTTGTGAATGTGATCTTATTGGAAAAAAAGTCTTTGCAGATGTTATTAAGGACCTAGAGATGCAATCTTTCTAGATCAGACTGGGCCCTAAAACCAATGACACTTGCCTTTATAAGAAAAGACAAAGACAGAAGAGACATGGGGAGAAGGCCATGTGAAGATGGAGACAGGGAGTAAAGTGACGTATCTATAAGCCAGGGAACACAGAGGACTGCGGGCCCTCCCCAGAAGCTAGGAAGTGTGATGGCACACAGATGCCCTCCAAAGGACCTTTAGTGAATAAATTAATTTATTACTTAATTCAAAGGTCCCCTATTAGTTTAACTACAATGTCCAGACACTGAATTAATGGAGATTTCTGTCTTAAACATTTTAGGATTCTAACAATGTGTCTTCTACAGACAGAATAAAACAGAATAAGTAAAACAAGAAAAACACACTCAACTTTTTTGTTAGTTTATTTTGTTCATTAGATTCCACATATAAGTGAAATCATATGGTACCTGTGACTTTTATCGTTTCTTGTAGTATTGGTTTGGTGGTAATGAACTCCTTTAGGTTTTTCTTGTCTGGATTTTTCAACAGAAACATTTCAGGCCAGAAGGGATTAGCATGAAATATTCAAAGCGATTAAAAGCAAGGACCTACAACCAGGACTGTTTTACCCAGCAAGGTTATCATTGAGAGAAAGAGGACTTTAAGAGAATGGGAAAAAATTTTTAAAAAATGTTTTCAGACACCCTTTTTTTAGACCTTCATTCCACCCTTCTGGGGAGTAAAGCAACAGACTTCACTCACTCTTCTCTACTCCAAATCAAACCTGCACTTGAGATAATGTATCCCCAGTGCCTTTATCTGAGTCACTTTTTGAGGACCCATTGCCTATATAGGTCCTATGTAAGGAGACAAACCGTCAGTGCTTCAACCTTCCCCTACCAGTAGATTGTTTTGTTCTCTTCCTGCCTCTCTGTCTTGGCTTCACTAATTCTAAATGTTTATGTACCTGAAGGATGGAAACAGAAAGGGTGCTAACCAGGAATCCGGGCAGGCTCCTGGTTTCATCACGTACAAATGGAAATGCGTGTAAACTTACTATATCCAGTGGACTCCATGCTAAGTAGGAAACACCTCGAGAATGGGAGTGATCTGGGGAGAAATGAGTTTCATAACAAAATATCTAAAGGACTTAGTATAGAACTGGCTAATAGAATGACAGCTATAAAGGACAGCTGTAAATACCCTTATTTCATTATCTTGCTTCCCAGGATATTTCATTTTTCAAGAAATGGCTTTGTGGGTGTTTCTTAAAACTACCTGGAACAAAGCCAACTCTAACTGTGTTTAGAAGCCAAATGAATACAGTAGTCCCTAGAACTGAGATGCAAAGGGCATTTTACTGTACAAATCAAAATAAAATTAGGAGTCTTAAGTGGTACATAGGGTTGGCCACTCACTTCTGTATAAGAGCTAGTTTGAATAAACTATGGACCTGAATGACATTGTCCTCATTAGTCACTGAATGTGTAGTAGTGCAGCATACTAATTATTTGAGTGTAAGTTTTCACTGTTAAACATTTTGAAGATTCATATTTACTTTTATTTTTGTTTATATCCAAGGCAGTCATAGGATGAGATGCGTGAGGTTGTGATTTGCTAAAGGCACCTTTCAGACATATGTTGCCTACAAAATAAGTTCTACTTATAAGAAGCCAAACACCACCCCAGGAAATATTCTTTATATGAAGTAGAAATGATTTTTCCCTTTGAATTCCTCTATGTGGTCCCTGCCTCATAAAAAAATATTAGTTCACAATTATTGTGTGAAATCAGACTCATTCTAGGTAACCTTCCTTATGTTGTGCTTAACATGATTACAATAGAAAGGAAGAAAATGGATGTTCCTGATATGTTTCAAGACAGGAGTGGGCCTTGGACATCATGGTTCCCACTTGCCACCTCCTTTTATCTAAGAGGTCTCCCAAGAAAAGACTTAGAGACTCGGAGTCAAATGTAGCTGCTTCTTATTAAGGATGATGGATCTCTCAAAAATGCATCCGTTATTTATAACAAATGGTATCTGGTAATGCTGTTCTGACAAATTACTAGCTTTTCTAGTTAAGATAGTTTCAATAAAAGTACAGATTCCTTTATATCATGGAGGCCAGGAAATGGAGAGTGCTCGTTATGAACATGTAAACTGGAACTGGATATCTGACAGAAATTTGTCCTGCTACTTTCTCTGTCCCTCATGAACAACTTAATCTTGCTCATGGGGTTTCTCCATCTTCCCATATACTCTTTCTCCATTCTTCCCTATCAACTCTACTTATTCATAAATTTTTTATTATGTATTAGGCATGCATAGAAATCACACAGTTATCTCAGACTCACTGTACTGAAACCTTGCTGCTTCAGTTCCACCACCTAATCGCTTTTTTTGTTTCTTTGGGTTTTCTAGTTCTTATCACTCAGGAAATTTGATTAGCCTAGGTCAACATTTTCTCTTCTTTAGTTTTTAAACTAAGCTTTATAAAGAAATTAAAAACTAAATCAACTAATTTTAAACTTTCAACTCAGTACTTTTTAGTAAATTCATAAAAGTTAATTGTGTAACAATTAGTATAATTCAGTTTTAGAACCTTTTCATTAACACAAAAGACTCCCTTGAGCCCTTTTTTGCAGTTAATCTCTAGTCCCACCTTCAGCTTTAGGCAACTACTTGACTGCTTTCTTTCCCTATAAAAATGTTCCTTCTGGATGTTTTATATAAATGGCATTGCACAATATATCATGTTTTGCGAAGTTTTTGTCACTGAGCATGATACTTTTGGAGTTCATTGTGTTCCAACATGTTTCAGTATTGTGTTTCTTTAAATTGCTGGACAGTATTCCATTATATGGCTATCCCATTTTTTGGAATATTCCAAACTCATTACAAATGGAAAAATCCAATGGAATATTCAATTTCATCAGTTAGTAGAAATTTGGATTATTTTCAGTGTGACTATTATTAATAATTCTACTATTAACATTCATTATCTCAGTAACACACTGTCTTGATTACTGTATCTTTAAAGTAAGTTTTATAATTGGCTTGTGTACGTCCTCCAACTTTGTTCTTTTTGAAAAGTGTTTTGGCTATTCCAGGTCCTTTTTATTTCTATATATATTTTAGGATCAGCATATCACTTTCTTAAAAAAAAAAAGCATGTGGTGATTCTGATAAGGATGGCATTAAATATATTAATCAATTATTTATCAAGCTGGGGAGAACTGATATCTTGAAATATTGAGTCTTGTAATCCATGATCATATAACATCTCTTCATTTATTTATATGTTTATTTCTCACAGAAATATTTTGTAGTTCAGTGTATAAATCTTACACATCTGATTAAATTTATTCCTATATATTCATTCTTATGCAATTGTAAATGACATTATTTCCTTAATTTTATTTTTCAATAGTCATTGCTAATATATAGAAACATTTATTTTTATATCTTAAATGCTGTGATACAAAATAGTCTTTCTTAATTCTAGTAAATCTTGTGGATTCTTGAAATTTTCAATGTAGACGATGATGTACTCTGCTAAGAAAAACTGTTTTGTTTTTTTCTATCCAATCTGGATAAATGGTTCTATCTATCTGGCTCTCTGTGTGTCTTTCTATCTATCACTTTATTGTACAATCTAGAATCTTTGGTTAGAATTTTTAATAGAAGTGGTGACAATGGACATTTTTGCTATGTTCCAGATCTTAAGAGAAAAACATTAAGATTTTCACTATTAAGTATGGTGTTTGCTCTATTTTTCATTGATGTCCTTTATCAGTTTGAGAAAGTATCAATTTATTTATAGTTCTTGAGAATTTTAATTATTAGTGTGTTAAATTTTGTCAATATTTTTTATACCTACTGATTCTACTAATATGGTGTATTACATTACTTGATTTTCATATGCTAAACCAAGCTTGCACTCCTGGATAAATCCCATTTGTTGATTATATCCCTTTTTAAATGTTATTGAATTTGGTTTGCTAATATTTTTTTAAGAATACTTGTATCTACATTTATGATGGACGTGGCTATAGTTTTCTTGACTGGCTTCGGATAATTATTTATGTGCTTTTCCCTCTTTTACTTCATGAAAGAATTCAAAAAGAATTGTTTCATTTCTTTTGAAAATATTTCACAGAATTCACATGCGAACCCATTCTGCATGCAGTTTGCTTCATGGAACCCTTTTAAATTTATAATGAAATATCTATAAATATTTTAGGTCTTCTCAGTCTTCCCATCATCTTGAGTCAGTTTTATCAATTTGTTGTTTCTAAGAAGTTTCCCATTTATCAAGGTGGTCTAATTGGTAAACCAAGCTCACATTTTTGTGCCAGATGATATCTCAGGTAACTGCCCACCCCTGCATTGACCTTCATTGGCACCAGCCACTTGTAGCTATGGAGGGATAGAGGATCACCTTACAAACCAACACCGCCAAATGGTGGTCTCATTTCGCAGAAACTAGGAGAGAATTTGGGGGAGCATGACTCTTCAGTAGCAGTGGTCTAGAAAACCATTTTGAGACTAATTCTAACACATTCGTTTAATATTTCAGCACAAATTCTTATACTTACTCTTGTGTTGGGAACTTTGTAATGTTGAAACAACACTTGGAAGTGAAACATTTCTTACTATTATACTTGCGGTGGTGAAGTGTGTCTTCGTGACATCATTGGTTGTGGCTCCTAATTATGTAAAAAGAATCAAAAGAATCAACAAAAAATCAGAGGTATAACCAATCACCAAATAGTCTCATTAATGTTCATATTAACATTCAGTTACAACTTAAAGATTAATTATGGAAAGTCTTCTGATCAAGATTTAGAAATTGAACATTTTGATGTCTATATTTTAATGATCCAGTTAGTTGCATTAAAGAAATTAAGAGGCATATTAGATTCTGCTATATGTTTTCAATAGGTTATCTCATTTAATTATACTAGTAATCCTATGAATTACATAATAATTATAATAATTTTATATAAAAGACCCAGAAAAGTTAAATAATTTTCCCACAGTGACATAACTTGTAGCAGGAAAGAGCTAACATCTGAATGCAAATTTTTCTGATGTGAAAGTTAATAACTCACTACCCTAGAAAAGGAATGGTAAGAAAGTGGTAATAGTTGAAGATGGTACCATGATTCCCATGCTATATGAGAAATAATTTTTAGGTTGGTATACTAGCCATAAGTAGAAGGATCACAGGAAGTAAATAAAATAATCTTTTAATTATACTCTGTTCATTTTTTAAAAGAAAATTAACAACAAAAATAAGCTCAGCTTTCAAAAATAACATTGGAATAAGTCTACTTGAAACAACCCCTATTTGCACAAACATTATAAAAACAAAATGATTGATGCCCTTCAGTCGTTTTTACTAACATTGGGTTAGTAAGGAAAAACAGGCATGCTGGTTAGTGTGTACTTAGTGTTAGCTAGATAAGATGTTGGCCAGAAATGGGGGGAAAGCAATTTAATAAACTTTTATCAAAAAAGTAGGTTGGAACCTGGAATTGCTGGGGCCTTCCAGAAGTGCCAGTTTCCATTCTATAGCATAAGCACCTATCATGTAATGCAAACCCTTAGAGCAGCTGAGAGATTTATGCTAGAGAAAATAATAGTTTGCAAGGAAACCTCACAGACAGTGGGTAAATATGTCTTCACACAAAAAGCCTTCAGGAATTGGCATGCAAACAAAAGTAAAATAAGTTCAAACATAAGCTACATCATTAACACTGCATATGAGAAAGAAGAAGCGGAAATGGGCATAAACGTCAGAGACATCTCGAAGTACCCACTGAGAGGGAAATACTTGAGGAGGTAAAGAAAGTTCTTTTTGTAGCAGGAGGGCAGAAACTGACATCTGTGATAGATGAAGGCAGGAAGGTCACCCCAGGTGCAGGAACTTGATACCCGAGGATAAAGGCACACGTGAGGGTAAAGATTTTGTTTCTCACTAGAATTTAAAAAAGGAAAAACAAAAGCTTGGGAAACATCAGAACAGGGGATTCTCTTCAGAAATCTTTGGAGAATAATTCTTCTGTTAAACTAAAATTGGAAAACATGAAAAAGGTATCCTAATGATCTAAAAAATTTCGCAGTATAAAGTAGACTCAACAATCTTGGCAACAGAAAGAGAATATAGGGCTAAGAAAAATATGGGGAGCTGCCAGATTAGAAAATACAAACGAAAGAGTAAGATAATGGAATGGCTGACTGAGGATGCAACACCAAAGATCATGCTTAGAGAACTACCTGTTATTAATATGTAATATACTACACAAATGAGGGTAGACTAAGAGTCCACGCGCCATTCAGGAGAGGCTGTCAATGATACACTGCCAGTTAGGAAATGGAAGGAATCTCCAATGCTTTGAAAGCAAGCAAAATATTTTTAAATATCCATGGTGGACCTACAATGAAAAGAATAAAATATATGGAGGGTAATGCTGCCAGAGTTGGAAATTCTTAAGTTTTACTAGTATAGTAAAATGTTTCAAATCCTAGTCTCAGGAGAGGGGAAAAATTGGTGACCGACATATGTTAATGTAGAAGAATCATAACCTTGTATTAATGTCTTGTTGGAAAAACTGTCCTAAATGCATTATGGGTTCACATATAGAAGATTTTGAACTCTTGCCAAAAGGCGACTGTCACCTCAGAGAAAGAAGAAAACCAATCTTAAAACTATTCTCCAAACTTATATGGTTTGCTCTCTTTTAGTTTCTCTTTCTGGCCATTTCCCCAGGTATCACTATGTATCTGGTTTGGTTTACAGCAGCGATTTTCATCCTTTTTTTTTTTTTTATCACATGACACACATAAAGTAATTACCAAAATTCTGTGGCACACCAGAAAATGTATTTTTTTAATCTGACAAAAAAATAGGTATAATTTTGATTCATTCCCACCTGACAGCTATTGTTGTGTTGGCTGTTGTCATTTTTTAAATTTGACAATCTAGGGGAAAAGAGGCCAGTGCCCCTGGCTAAATAGTTGGGTATTGCATGTTTTAAAAATTCTTGCTGCATACCAACTGAAAATTGCTAGTCTCCAGGTTCACATTGTACTGTAAGTGAAGGTAATAATAGGTTTTGACAAACACTATTTTAGTTGAGAAATATTAATTTATATTGCAACATTGAAATAATACTCTCTTTACTTTTAGGATTTATGGTTTTGAAATTCATGCTGTTTTAGTTCTTAGAACTTTGTTTTAGGTGAAATGCATGCAAGACAAAATATAAGTAATTTTTAACCCATATTCGAATAGGAATAAGGAAAATCTAACACAAGCGATACATGAGAGAGACACATCAATACTAGAGTGTAAGTGCAGAGAAAAGGGATTGAGGCTGTTTTATAATTGCCTTGAAAATATTAATATGGGATTCATCTTGCCTATTTTGGGAAACCACATTTTAGGGAGGAAGTAGTAAGTGTAAACATTAGCTATATTAGAAAATTAAGATGTGTTTATGACAGATTGATGTGAAAGGGAAGGATTACTGAGCTAAATTGTTCGGGGAAGGAGATTAAGCAGCTTCATTCTTCTGAAATTATATGATTTAAATTTTAGTATCTTTTTTATAGTCAAATTATTTGAAGCTGCTTTAGGTTTTAAAATCAAATAAATGTCTTTGTTTTAAAATTACTAAGATTTTAAAAAGATTTCTAAGATCACTAAGAGTTACAAAAGATTTTATTTTGCATCGTAAAACCCCAGGGTCTGAGAGTATTTTCTAATTTCGCAAAAACCTACATTTTCAAGGATCACTTTTATGAATTAGTATTCCCTAGAAATTCTGTCCCCATGACAACATGGGTAGTCTGGGATAAATTAATTAAATTAATGTCCTGACTCATTTGACTGATTCCTGAGGTAATACAGAAGAGCCATTAATAGAAAGATTGTGAGGAACATAAATGTTTGTACCAATGATCCCAGGGAGATGTGTAAAAGCAGTAGTAAAGACTTGGAAAAGAAGCTTCTTAAGATTTTGATTAGATTCTCTTGATCTCCTCCCTTGAAGTGAAAAGCAGTACCCCAAACTGTAAATAAGTTTAAATGCTAAGCCCATGACAAAGAAATTAAAAGATAATAAAAGAGATGTAAAGGAGTGTAGGCCAAACACCTGAACAATTCAAGAATTTAAAATCTCATCTCCTTTAGTCCTTCACTCGTAAGGGACCAGGCTACACAAGAATTTCAAAGTTTTTGAAGAAAACAAAATAGTAGTATTAGAAAAATATAGGTAAATTTAAAAAAACTAGAGCTTTTTGTGGGAGACAAAAGGAGTTTTATTTTAATGTAAATTTTATATTTTTTTTCATTTCCATGTCATTTACAAGGGGGTTAAGGTAGATGTTAATGGCCCACTGTCCTCCCTCTTGCAAGACTACTTAGCACCTGAGTATAACCCCAAGGCAGGTGAACCAGAACAGACCACTGAAGGACTACCTGCCCCTGAGGCATTGCCAACAGGTATATAGGAGCCTCCGGATCTATCCATCATCCAACCCAGTTTACCAAGGTAAGTTCATACAGGAATTTGGGGTTGATCTTAGGCCAAGAATAAAGTTGTACTTAGAGATGATCTTTACATATATAACTCACAAAGCACATGTGTTGGATGGAGTAATTTGGTGACTTCAGAGGAATCTAGTAATTTGGAATTCTTTTTCAAACCCTTTGCTCTTCCTCAGAGACTTCACTAAGAAGTAGATGTTGACTTTCCACTTCCTTAAACTCTATTTTAATTGTGTTTCTTGGAGCCAGAGAAAATATTAGTAAGGGCTTCTTTATTTTGTGAGTATCCTATTTACCCACAAGGTTTTACATATCAGCGAATAACACAAATGATGCTTATAGGGACATTAAAAGCTTCTGGAACATTTGAGTTGCTCTTTTGAAAACTGCGTTTCACAATAATTGCACAATGGAATATTCTCAGGTCACGTGATGGTGAAAGAGTTGCCTTGTTTCCTAATTATATAATAAGAGGGGGACCCCAAAACATGGGATTTATATTAAAAATTGTGTATTTATTCTTACATGCTTAAACTTTAGTCCTTCAAAGTACTCTCCATTCAATGCAATACACCTATTGAAACATTTTTACCATGGCTCAAAACAGTTTTTGAACTCATCAATTTTGATGCCTTTTAGAGCTTCTGCTGTTTCTTTTTTTTCTTTTTTCGCCTATTCCACATAGGCAAACCATTTCCCTTTGCAGACCTTTTTCATTGGGGGAAACAAAAAAAGTAGCCCAGGGTGAGATCAGGTGAATAGGGAGGGTGGGCCATGGGGTCATGCTGTTTTTGGTGAAAAACTGCTGAATATTCAGCATGGTGTGGGCAAGTGTGCTCATAAATCACCCATCATAAAATGGGCAAGCACACTGAAAGTCTTCAAAAAAAAATTCACTGAAGCCAAACACAGCCTCTCCCAACACCAGCTGGCACCCGGATGCAGAGGGGTTCCTAAAACACTCACTTCGTGGGGGAAGCCTGTACTCCAAGGGGACTGCCCTCCAGAAGATAACTCCGCTTTTTTGGAGTCCTCTCTCATACACTTTTTTTTACTATGAATAGAATTTAAATAAACATAATATCTTATTCCAGTAATTTTTAACTGTACTACTACAGCTCTAAAGGCTCAGTGAGGAAGTCAAATAGACCACCTTTAGTGATTAAGATGTAGAAATGGATAGATGTCCACTTTGCCTACCCACATGCAGCACCACCAAACTGTTTCAAATTGAGCAGTTCAACTTCCATTTGTTTGATATATAATAAGATTTTCTGTGGATATGTTTCTGCCAATTAAAAAGAATTAGACAATTGCCTTATTCAATGTGAGGCTCCAAAATGATAACCTTGCCATTCCACATTGAAAGTAAGATTAAGAACATCAGAGTAGACAGAAATAACAAGATCTATTGTTATTGGGAAATTCATGTGTGAATAATGTTCCTACACTATGTTCAAGAACATGGCCTTTTGCCTGGATTTATTTAGTCTTTTGTAAACAGAATTCTAACAAGTTGTTGTTGGTGGTGATGGTGGGTGCGTGGGTGGGTGGGTGGTGTGTGTGTGTGTGTGTGTGTGTGTGTGTGTGTGTGTGTGTGTGTGTGAAGTTGTTCCCACTTAAACAGCAGTAACTTAAAAGAAATAATTACCCATAGCAGGCTGGCAATCTCTCCAAAGGGATAATGTAAAAGCAAGGAAAAAGAAGAACATGTACCAAAAACAGAAAGAAACAAACAAATATTTATAGAATATGGTGACTGCTTTGTGGAGAGAGAAAAAGAAATGATACATGAGTGTTGTTAATACCTAAAGGGATCACTATTTAATAGCCAAGTGATGAATTGAGATTAAAATAATATCAATTCATTAAGAAACACTTGGTTATGAATTTGTTAAATAGAAAGAACAATTTGAAGTTAAAGGACCAAATTTCAAATTCAAAATTGTTTTTATAAAGTTTGTCATTTTAAAAAAATTGTTACACCATTTAGCCTTTCTGAAACTCAGTATTCTTGTCTTTAAACAATAATGTTTAAATAATAACATTAAACCAATCTAGAAAATGATAATAAATTTCTTAAGATGAGAGCCAAATGCACTATTTTAAAAATAATACTTTAAAAAAATTTCAAAACACTTGCAAGTCAGGTTTATTATGCTCTGCCTAATGAGAAAGGATATCCATAATATTCTTTAGAATAGTTTCCATATCATTTATTTTTAATTAAATTCAATTTAATTTTAAATAAACAGAAGAAAAAAAAATGTTTAAACTTAATGGGGAGGAGTGAATAAATATGTAGATATTAAACAATGTAATCCTAAATAAAAAGTTGGTCAATAATTAAATTACAAGGGATATTAAAAAATACTTTGAGATGAATGAGCATGAAAACATAGTATATGAAAATGTATGGGATATAGCAAAAATAGCACTTAGAGGGAAATTTATTGGTATAAAACCAATAATTATTAAAGAAAGAAGATTTTAAATCAATATCTTAACCTGACAACTTAAGAATTTAGAAATAGAAGAGCAAACTCAACCTAATGGGAGCAAAAAGAAAGAAACAACAAAGATTAGAGAGGAAAGAAGTACAATAAAAGTAATAGAGAAATCAATAAAATCAAGTCTTTTTTAAAGATCAAACAAGTTGATAAACCTTTAGTTAGACTGAGAAAGAAAGAAGACACCGATTACTAAAACAATGTATTAAAGAGAGGACATTACCACCATCTTAATAGAAATAAGAAGGATTATAAGGAAATGATATGAACAATTGCATGTCAACAATTAAGTAAAGGAAATGGACAAATTCTTAGCAAATTAACAACTAGAAAAGTAAGTCAAGAAAAAAAATAAAAAGTGTAACTAGACCTATAGCAAATAAAGAGCTTGAGATAAAAAATTTTTTCACAAATACTGGGATCAGATAGCTTTACTGGTAGGTTCTGACAAATGTTTAAGGAATAACTCTCCATAAACTCTTCCAAAAATCGATAAAGAAGGGAACACTTCCCAATTCATTCCATAAGGCTAGTACTAATCTCATACCAAAATCAGAAAAAACAAACTAAAAACCTATATCTCATAAGTGTAGACACAAAAATTATTTACAAAATAATACAAATCATATCCAACTATATCCATATAAGAAACACATGCAATGACCACGTGGGTTTTATCCAGGAATGTAAGTTTGTTCAGCATACAGAAATCAATATCATATGCTATATTAACAAAATGAGAGAGAAAAATCACATAAGAATCTCAATATAGTAAGAAAACATATATGGCAAAATCCAATATCACTGCATGATAAGAACACTCAATATACTACTAATAGAAGAGTACTTCCTCAGCCTGATAAAGGACATCTATGAAAAACCCACAGTAACATCATACTTAATGATTAAACACTAAAGGCATTTCCTTATAATTAGGAACAAAACAAAGATACCTCCTCTGACCATTTCCATTCAAAGTTGTATTGAGGGTTCTAGCCAAGGCAGATATGCAAGAAAATAAAATAAAGGTATCCATATTATAAAGAAATAAGTAAAATTATCTCTATTTGCAGATGAATCTTGGATATAGAAAATCCTAAGGAGCCAACACACACAGCACATGCACAAATTGGAACCAGTAAATGAGCTCAATAAGATGGCAGGATACACTTTTACTATTTGAAAATAAATTGTATAGTAGCATTGAACAATCCAAAATAAAATTAATAAAATGGTTCCTTTTATAACATCATCACAATTAATAAGATATTAGAAATAAATTGAACAAAAGAAGAGCAAATCTTTGACACTGAAAACTGTAAACATTATCAAAAGAAATTTAAAAAGACCTAAATAAGAGGAAAAACATCTCATATTCATGGATTGGAAGAATTAAGACTGTTAAAATGCCATTTCCCAAAATGATCTTCCCAAACAGATTCAATGTAACCTCTATCTCAATTAACTTCTTGAAGAAAATGACAAATTGATTCTAAAATTTATATAAAAATTCAAGTGATTCAGAATAGCCAAAACAATCTTGAAAGAGAAGAAAAATGTTGGAGCACTCATTGCAAAATTTAATGCAAAGCTACGGTAATTAAGAGTGTATCATGCTGGGATAAGGATAGACATAAAGATAAATGGAGTAAATTTGAAAGTCCAGAAAAACACCCATGCATTTATAGCCAATTGATTTTCATTAAGAGTTCCAAGACAATTCAAATGAGGAAAGAATAGTCTTTTCAAAAAATGGTGTTAGGACAAATAAATAACTACATGCAAAAGAAAGAAGCCAGCCTTCTACCCTACACCATATATAAAATCAAAGACTTAAATATAAGACCCAAAACTATAAAATTCTTAGAAGAATACATTGGTGTAAATCTTACGACTTGAGTTGAGCAACGGTTTCTTAGATTAGACCCCACTGCACAAGTGACTGAAGAAAACTAGTGTTATTCCAAACTAGACGTATTTGACAAAATTTTAAAGCTGAAGGCAATTAAGGAGCAGCAAATGCAGAAAAAGCTTCCCTGTTTCTGCCTAAAGGCAGGATATGAATTTTCCTACTGCTGGAGACAAACTTATCAGCCCAGAGAAGGCGGCAGAGGAATTTGCAAACAAAACCCAGTCCATTAGGTTTCCTTTCATTTATTTATGTTCCCTCAGTCTGCCACCCTTGGGAGGCTTAACAGTTTTCCTTTGTCCTGTTTTTCTTTTTTTCTCTTTTTCTTTTTACAAATTTATTTATTTATTTGTTTACTTTTGTTGTTGTTGAAGATGGTATATAAGCTGAATTCTAAGCCGCTGATTTGAGTTACTTTTTGTTTTAAGTTTCTCGCATGATGTGCACTGCATGTGTTAAAAAGAGCTGGGTTTTTATTGTGTTGTTGTAAGTCTTTTTGCTAAAGTCCTCATATGAAAAACCTAAAATGGGTAAAGTTTTGCTTACTCTACATGACAAAAGAAAATATAAATTTTGTTTCATCAAAATTATAGATTTTAATCCTTCAAAGGGTACCACCAAGAAAATGAAAAGACAACCTACAGAATGGGAGGATGAATTTGCAAATTATCTATCCAATAGGATCTAGTCCAAAATATATAAAAAAGCCTTTACAACCTAGCAAAAAAAGAAAAATAGCTCAATTTCTTAAAAAATGGGCAAGGAAAATAGACATTTCTCCAAAGATATACAGTAGCCAACAAGTACATGAAAAAATGCTCAATATCATTAGTCATTAGGAAAATGTAAATGAGATATCACTTCACACCCTCTGGAATGACTATGATGAAAAAGACAGACAACAAGTATTGGTTAGCAAATGGAGAATTCGTACTCTCACGCATTTCTGGTGGGAACATAATACAATGCAGCTCTTTTGGAAATCAGTTCCTCAAAAAGTTAAACATGGAGTTACCACCACATGATAACTCAGCACTTCAAGGTATATACCCAAGAGAAATGAAAACACATGGTCATATAAAAACTGGTACAGGAATGTTCTTAGTAGAATTATTTGTAAGAGTCAAAATGTAGAAACAGCCCAAATGTCCATCAACTAATAAATAGATCAACAAAATCTAGTAATCTATATAAGGACATATTATTCAGTCATGGAAAAGAATGAGCTACAGAAACATGCTACAGCATGTATGAACATAAGAGCATTATGCTAAGTGAAAGAAGCCAGACACAAAAGGTCATAGACTACATGATTCTATTTATAAGAAATTTCTAGAATAGGCAAATCTATAGAGACAGAAAGTAGGTTAGTGGTTGCCAGGAGTTAAAGGAGGCTGGGAGTACAAAATGATTAGTAACAAATACAGGGTTTATTTTTGGAGTGATGAAAATATTCTGGAATCAGATAGTGATGATGGATATACAATCTCATGAATATACCAACAACACTGAATTCTGTATTTTAAAAGGATATGCAGTATGGTATATGACATTATGGTAAGCAAATTATACATAGAAAAGAAAAATGGTGGCAAAACACATTATTACTCACCTTTCCCTTTAACTGTAGTGGTTAAGGAAGTAATTGGTGGCAGTGAAGTTTGTAAGGACCCCCTGGTAGTTGTTCCTAGTTTGATAAGAGAGATGACAGTATTATTAATCATAATTTCATCTCATCTGCCAAGGAGTAAATAAAAGTCAGTCAAATCTGGAGGTGGACTGTAATCCATCAACAGAGGTACTGGGTAAGCATCTGCCTATCTTTAATTTGTCCATTTTCCAGCTCCCTTTGTTCAAAGTGGGAAAGGTAAGTAGTGAATACTTGGCTGGCTCTATGGAAACATACACATATACACACATGCACACACACAAACATATTGTATTAGAGACCCAAGAATCACACTTTTAATAGTTTGTTACCTGGTGATCTTAAAATGTGCAAAAAATATTATTGTAGAAACGAATGATTTTCCCATGGGAAAAATGACCTGTTCAACAGGACCTGAGAATAACATAACTTTTTTTTTTTTAGGAATCACATTTCATTCTGTTGATTTAGTTTTGACATTCAAATTTCCATATAAACAGAAATAAAAAAAGAAAGTTTCAGACTGCTATAATTAATTAATTTGTTCATTCACAAAATGTTCATCGGGTTCCCACTCTGCACAAGACCCTCCTTAGACTATAGAGGGCAGTATCCAATCCTTAGTCATCTTCTTAATCTGAGTAGTATCAAGAATAATTCCTGGCATACAGCCTGTATGAAATAAATGTTTCGAAAAAGGTGTCACTCATACAACAAAGAGACAAAGCTCTGCTTTAAGTAGTGAACATGACTTACCAGGTAGGTACCCATAAAAGTCACCATTTCCTTCTCTTTTAAAACGTGTTAGCATGTTCTTTTGTGATTAGGTCCTAGGTCCCATTTTTAGTATGTGACATATATAAATTCTTGGTTCTTACAAATATGCATTCTGTATTTGGGGCAGGAACTATGTGGATCTGCAAAGTTTATCTATTTTTTTTTTAATCCTCACTGGAGAGAGAAACATCAATCAGTTGGCTCTTACAGACACTTTGACAGGAAATCAAACCCACAGCTTAGATACGTGCTCTGCCTGGGAGTTGAACCCACAACTTTTTGGTGTATGGGACAATGCTCCAATCAACCCGGTCACCCAGCCAGGGCATTTTATCTAACATTTTAAAACCCTAGTCCAGAGGAACTTTTCAAGGGTAGGCTGGTTGGAGCTATATATCAAAAGATCCCAAGGAACCGTAAGAACAAGACGAGACCTTCGGAGAATTGCTGAAGACAAACACCTCTAAAGAGATTGAAGATTTTATTCACTGCTCACTCCTCTGTCCTTGCTGCTTATTTAGGGAAATAGGTTATTATAGCAATGGACAGTGGCTGTAATAGGCAGATTTTGTGAATTATAACGTGGAATGCATCAGGGCACTTAGGACTTTCTAGAAGGTTCTTGTTTGTTATCCACCCCCACTCATATGTGTTTCTATTTTAAAAGAAGAAACCAACAAAGGAAACATTATTCCCAAAAAACTTGGTTTAAGATTTTGGGTTGCCCACTCACATGAGGCCAGCATCTTAAAGTGAAGATGCAACAAATAAATGAAGTGTCCCCTCCAGACAGACTCTTGGTATCAATAACAGGCTGAGATGAATTTTTGCAGTCACCTTGCCTTTATGTTTTACTGCCATATGTCTCATTTATAACTTAAAATTTAAGACATAGAGATAATTATAAGAAATAATCAGGACACATATAATGATAGTAATATAAATATAAAAAAATGTATATAATCTTTGAGTTTCTGAAGCCCTTGATCCTTTCCTTTTATGCATATCCTGGCTTTGTGTTTGTAGAGAGAAAAGAGGTATAACAAAGTTGAGCTCTGACCAAGCATTTAGCCCAAATCTTCTTTTTAGGTTCAGTTTCAGCCTTGATCTTTGGGAAACTGAACCGAAGTGGAAGTACATTTATAAATGGTGATCTTGTTGTGATCATACTGATGACCATAATATATAATCAATACAACAATTTAACACAGACAAAACACAATTTATTTTAGATTTATGGTTAATGTATAAATATTCACTTTCAAATGTGGATAAGGATTCTACATATAACTTATAGTACAGTTCTATGTGCTAAATATGTTAAAATTCTGGAGTGTAAATACATCCTTATAATTGTAAAATTAAAATGTTGTAGAAACTAATGAGAATTGTTATTTCTGTTAATTTTATGTGCAAATAATGATTAAGTACTTGAAAGTGATTAATAAAAGAAATAGACTGAATTTAATGTGAACATTAAGAAAGTAGTATAACTCTATACCTTTAGGGATACAATAACATTTTCAGTCAGATGTTTATAAAAGATTCAATCAGAGAAGAATTCTATTCTTTATACAATTGTTTAGTAAACTATTGTTCATAACACTGTGCAAGATAAACTTTTAAAACTTATTCAATTCCATTTAAGACATAAGGATTTCAGGAAAATATCAATTTGTACACATTTCATGTCTTGTGAGAATATACTAAAAGCAAAATGTTAACTTTACCACTTAGGAATTCTATGAAAAGGAAAAAATAAGAAATCACATACAAAGATATTTTAGGTAATTCATTCTCAACTCAAAGTTAACAAGGACAATAAAGACAATAGGTAAGGAAATAAAGTTGTGGAAAAAGAGGTATCCAAACCTCTTTTTTCCCACTAATAACATAAGAAAATTTACAAAAATTCCTTCTAAAACTGTTCTTTATAGATTCATGTTAGTTTCTAGAGAGGGAGAACATCTAGCACCCACATGGAAGGAATGGACAAAATATCTGGCTTCTGACTGACCTCAGTTGAAATTGAACATCTATTTAATATCAGAAATGTTTAGTATCAGCACTGAGAAACTTTTATTTCTGTATTGTAATTCATCTCATTAAAAAGTTGACTATTAAATGCTTTAAAAATCAATCTGGAAAATAATTACATCTTAAGACTGAAATTTCAGGTTTATTTTTGTATTTTAGAAGTTCAACTTACGATGATACTCAGGGTCTGCCAAAGATTGATTTTTAATCCTGGCCTTTGGCCTTCGGCCTTCGACCTTCGATACAAATCTAGGAAGAGATCAAGTTCTCTCTCTCTAATTGGATAAACCTCTTGAGAGCAAGCCCTGCTCTGGGCAAAGCTCTATCCATCACCTCTGCCATCACTGCAAGAATTCCCATCTTAGTTGCACATTTTTCACTCTTCTGATAATAAAATTTTTGCCATTTTCAGGAGAATAAAAATGTACATGTTTTAGAGTACACACAAGCACTATAGCTCTGACTGGTGTGGCTCAAGGCTTGGGCATCATCCCACAAATGGAAAGGTTGCCAATTCAACTCCCGGTCAGGACACAGGCCCAGGTTGTGGGCCAGGTTCCCGGTTGTGGGCGTGCGAGAGACAACTGATTGATGTTCCACACATCGATGTTTCTCTCCATTTCCCTCTCCTTTCTTCTCTCTCTAAAAATTAATAAGATCTTTAAAAAAGAATACACATATACAGTATTAAATTGTGTATTTTGACCTTTGAAAAAGATAATCTGATTGGAAACTTTTACTATGAAAATAAAGAAGCTTCTTCATGGCATACTTTTTTTGTGGTTAAAACTTTTATTGTGGCTACAATGACCATGTTGGCCATGAGAATGGGGGTGATATGGAACCACTTCACTATAGATGTACCTTTTGTGATATTATTGTGTAATCTAAAGATAGTTATTTTGGAGGATGATTACATTGTATAAAACTTCCCAATATGTAAATTCCCTCACAGGTCTGAATTTAAGAAAACATCTCTCCTGATACACTTCTTAGAATATGAGAATTAGAGACTAATTTTCCATCATGTTCATTATTTGTGTATTAATTATATTGGTTTTAGGATCATGGGCAATCTCTAGTATACATAGTTCAACTTGCTTACACCCTAATACACAAATGCTGATGAAGCCAGACAAAAAGGAGTTCCTTTCTCTGTCTTCCGTCCCTTCTGTTGTTCCCTCACTTTCCTATAGACATCATGAACCCCCAGCTGCTTGATGGCCCCATCTGTCCCATCCACCCTGCCAGACCTTCTGTTGCTTGTACTGCATCAGAGCAGACTGTGGCCACAGAGCCTGTCTTTCCTTCTTCACCTGCCACCCACCATTGCTCTCCCAGCTGCTTTCCTGAGAGACTCCAGAAGGGACTCATTTCCTTCCCAACCCCTCTTCACTGCTACATTCAAGGTTACTATATTCTTAACCCTTAAAATCCCTCTAAACAAAGATGATTCTAAGAAATTATTATTAACTTGAGGGATTTCATAATGACATTGTAGATTTTTAGTGTGTAGAAGTAAAACAGCATAAAGGCTTGATTCCCTTTAAAATATTTTGCAACCAAATAAAAAGAGAGAAGAGAAAGAGAAAGGAAGAAGGAAGGAAAGGAAGGAGGGAGGGAGGACAAGCAATGAAGCAACTGTGGTAAAATCTTGATAATTATTGGTTCTGGGAGATGGGCATATGGATATTAATTAACAATACTCACTACTTTAGGGTTTATGTGAGCATGTTTATAATAAAAATTAAAAACAAAAGCTTCTCTAGCCTGTTACAATTTTTTTTTTAATACTCAGGAAAGATGGCAAAAACTCTGACCTCAGCCTGAGGAACCGAATGTATGGGTTTCTGATGGCCGGACTGCCTGCCATCTTTATAACTCATGTTCTGCTTGGAGCAACAAAGGATTTGTGTTACATAGTTTTGAAAGGTATCCTAACTGATCAGCAATATCTTTTTTTTTGTAAATTTGGAATGTTTTTCATTCAGACCTGCTCTGCCAGGGACTCTACTGAAAATAATTTGATCGATATATAAAAACATTCAAGCTATGCAACGCTAAAGAAAAAAATTAAAAACAAAAGCTTCTCTAGCTTATTACAATTTTTTACCATTGATTGTGAATAGTTTAAAATTCTTCTGGAGCACCCTTGAAGAACAAGACTAGAGCTGAATTTTTTAAACTGGGGACTATGAAGCAGTAAATATGCCCATGAAAAAGAATGAGAAGTGTGTGTGTGTATGTGTGTGTGTGTACATACAATCTCAAGTGTTCCTAACACTTGCTTCAGGGAAAGGTGCTTCAGGATCCCTTTACAGAAGCCCCCAACCATAAAGGCACTAAAAATGTCTCTCGGCTGTGCTTTACATGAGTAGATATAGAGTTTCCCTTCCAAGTCAGAAACATAAGATGCATTCCTGATATCACGAATGACAATTCTGTCTGAATTCCTTCACTGAATGCCCCACCCCCACCTCTGCCCTTTCATTGTTTTTAACATAGTGGTTAGGGTTTGTGTTATTATTTGGATTGTGTTATGCACCATAAATCATTGTAGGCAAGGTTAGGGGTCCTCTTGTTGAAAAAACATAAGTTCTCAGTAATTCTCATAACAATTGTGGAACTTCAACATTTTGAGTTGGCATGTCAAGTCAGTACTTATGAGGTGGGGGAGGCATTATTAACCCGGAAATAGAACTAAGACAATTTTTAAAAACCAAATAAAAGTACATTGTGCAGAAGTGAACTGGGGGCCTCATGCTTCCTGATTATCTCATTTGGAGTTTCTGTTGGTTGAAAATAAAGGCTATACTAGATTCTGAAAGTAAAACTTCCTGTGTTGAACTCATTGTATAATGCTTTCTCCTGGGTTGGTAGAGAAATTCTAGGAGTTTAAGGTTTTGTCTTAAAACTAAACATATCAGAAATAATGGACTATATTCACAACATCCTTTTTCTGTGAGATCGCCACCTCACGGAGGCCCAGTGAACTAGTCCTCATGGGTTCTCAGCATGTGTTTGAGCCTGGCGTTAGAGCAAGAGGGGAATGAAGGACAGAGAGGCAAGAGAGACAGCTGTGGGGATTGCAGTCACTCATTCATCAGGGTATATGATTATCAGGGCTTTCTGTGAACTTACCATTCTAACCAGTTTTTCTGCCCATGGGTGATCAATAAACAATTTTATTTTTTCTCTCTATAGATTATTGGGCCTGAACGATTTGCCACACTTTATGTGTGTTGCAGGATAAATAATGAAGTATTCATTGAATTGATAACCTTTTGAGTTTTTAATTCAATGATTTCAATGGCTCCTTTTACTTTTCATGGACAGTAAGGTAACCCGTTTGGTACCTAGAGCCATAAAACATGATGCAGTTGTCACTCAGTCCAGTAACAATAATGATGGCATTGTTACTGAGACCTACAAATTAAAGCTATAATCAGCCTAATATAACTAACAAAATGAGCTTATTATTAATATAGTTTCACTTTATCAGCTGTGCTGCTTAAGTGGAGAACTAAAATATTTGAAAAGATATTTTTATGATTTAAGAAATGGTAATTTTATTCTTCTCTAAAAATAAACTTTGTGTATATAACCTTCACGATAGGATAATTCTCCCCCAGGAAGATTCAAGGGGACATTATCAAAGAAGCCTATTGAGATCTCTGAGTTCTGTATCCAATCCAAAATAACATGAGTTTCACAATAATAAAATAGCACGAAACTTCATAATACGTATAAGGTCCCAAATTATTTTCCTGTGATTAAATTACATAGGCAGTACTAATTTTATGTGTCAAAGTTAGAGTAAATTTCACTAAGTGTTTATCCTACCTCTGGGAGATGTGCCAACTGCTGGTGTCGTCACAGCATCTGGTGATGACGTCATGAGTGTTCCTGGGACAGGTGTTTTTGCTGCAGAAAGTACTGATGTGTTTAATGGAGGAGTGGTTTTGATTTGCTCACCTGAAAAAGTAAATTGTGTTAAAGTGGTTACATTATAATTTACATTTATTTTGCCAAATGTCAGACTATTACATTTAAATAAAATAAACTATAAGTATATTGTTGCTAACCCAGTCATTAGAGCATCAGTTTGAAATTAATTTTCTGATTGTCATGAATTCAGCCGTGAGCTTGTTATTCACTCACAACCTCATCTGCTTCTCACCAATGACATGAATTTTTGAGACGGCAGGAAGGAGCAGTCTGTGAGTCTGAAACAAAGTAGTATCTGACAAAACTAGCAAGGAATGAATATGTGAATTTGAAATTTAACACTACTTTTAAGTCAACTAAACTAATGTCAGATGAAATAATTAAAAGCACTCTCTGGGCAGTGGTTGTTTTACTAAATATTTTTAATGTTGCAACATGCCTAAATTTTTGGCCATTAAGCCGCCATAAATCTTTATTTTCAAACGGTTTACTTCTCTAAACTGTAATAACCAAAGACACAGAAATAAAGGCAATTGTGATCTAAATTGTATACTTACTTTTAACAATTTTGTTTCGGCAGTAAAAAGTCAGTATTTAATAATAATTCTTAGAACTCCCATTAAATATTACTTCTTCAGAGTGATGTAGGAGTTAATTCTCAGTGATTTATGAGAAACTTTGTTTCACAGATTTTATTAGCATTTATATAAGCTTTTTATTCCTCAATTTTGTTGCTCTTGACTCTGTATACTCACTGTTAGTTTGAAGATTGAAAAACAACAAACAAATATCTACAAAGGACTTGGAAAAAGTATTCATGTCTATGAAGTCATTATTTTTATGTTGTATAGTCAATGGAATATAGTATAGCATTTAGTTAAGAAGATGGATTTTGAGACTCAAACAAACAACCCAAGGCCCTATAGGGTCAACAACTGACATCATCAGAGCCAAGCCCAGAAAGAAAAGTAAAGGACAAAAATACTTAACAGACTCTCACAAAAATGGGAAGAAAAAGAAGTTCCCCTCAAATGAGTGGAAAAGGGGACTCCCCACAGAGAGAGATAAATGAAATAGAGGCAAGGGAACTATCAGATATGGAATTTAAAACAATGGTTCTAAGGAAGCTCAATGAGCTCAGCCAGCTCAAAGATAACTATGAGAAACTGCAGAGCAACTATCAGGATCTTACAGCAAACTATATCACCCTGGAAAAGGACATAGAAACTATCAAGAAGACACAAGAGGATATGAAGAATACCATTTCTGACTTGAAGAACACAGTAGAAGGAATCCAAAGCAGGCTGGATGAAGCTGAGGATCGAATCAGTGTGATGGAGGATAAGGTAGAAAAAAGCTCCCAGAAAGAACAGGAAATGGAAAAACGGCTCAAAAAGAATGAAGATGCATTTAGGGAAATGCAGGACAACCTGAAATGCAATAATATCCGTATAATAGGGATCCCAGAAGGAGAAGAAGAGGAGCAAGGAATAGAGAACCTCCTCGAAAAAGTAATGATGGAAAATTTCCCTAATTTGAGGAGAGAAAGGCTCTCATGGATCCAGGAGGCACAGAGGACCCCACTCAAGAAGGACCCAAGGAGGTCCACTCCAAGACACATCATCATTAAAATGGCAAATGTCAAAGACAAAGAGAGAATCCTCAAGGCAGCAAGGGAGAAGGAGAAAGTAACATACAAGGGGGCCCCGATACACCTAGGAGCTGACTTCTCAACAGAAACACTCCAAGCCAGAAGGGAATGGCAACAAATATTCCAAGCCATGAAAAGCAAGGGCCTACAGCCAAGGCTGCTCTACCCAGCTAGGCTCTCCATTAAAACAGAAGGAGAAATAGGGAGTTTCCCAGACAAAAGAAAGCTAAAAGAATACATCTCTACCAAACCAGCACTCCAAGATATGCTAAGGGGACTGGTTTAAGCAGATGAAGGAAAAGAATGAGACAGAGAGGAACACAAGTACAAAGAGAAAAGATGAGTAAGTTTCTATCAGTCATATCTCTCAATGTGAATGGACTAAATGCCCCAATCAAAAGACACAGGGTAGCTGAATGGATAAGAAAACATGACCCACACCTATGCTGCCTGCAAGAGACCCACCTCAGAGCAAAAGACCTACACAGATTGAAAGTAAAGGGATGGAAAATAATATTCCAAGCAAATGGACATGAGAAAAAGGCTGGCATTGCCATACTTGTATCAGACAAAGTAGATTTCAAAGTAAAGGCCATAAAGAGAGACCCAGAGGGGCACTTTATCATACTTAAAGGAAGAATCTATCAAGAAGACATCAACATTGTAAACTTATATGCTCCCAATATAGGAGCCCCCAAGTATATAAGGAAATTGTTGGACGACTTCAAAAAAGATACAGACAGCAACACACTGATAGTAGGGGATTTCAACACCCCACTGTCAAAAATGGACAGATCTTCCAAACAAAACATTAATAAACATATCGTGGCATTGAATGACACACTGAATCAAAGAGACTTAACTGACATATATATAACCTTACATCCCAAAGAAGAAAAATACACATTCTTTTCAAATGTTCATGGCAGTTTTTCAAAGATAGACCACATGATAGGACACAAAGCAAGCCTCAGCAAATTCAGGAAAATTGAAATAATACCAAACTTTTTCTCAGACCACAAGACCTTGAAACTCGAAATCAACCTCAAAGAGAAACTTCAAAAACTTGCAAACTCATGGAGACTGAACAGTACACCATTAAACAATGAATGGGTCAATAATGAGATAAGAGAAGAAATCACAAAATTTCTGGAAACAAATGAAAATGAACAGACAACTGTCCAAAACCTATGGACACTGCAAAGGTGGTCCTGAGAGGGAAGTTCATATCAATACAGGCTTACCTTAGAAAGATAGAAACATTTCAAATAAAAGACCTAACACTACAACTTCAAGCACTGGAGAAACAACAACAAATAAATCCCAGAGCAAGTAGAAGGAAGGAAATAGTCAAGATTAGAGCAGAACTGAATGACATAGAGACAAAAAGAACAATTCAGAGGATCAACCAATCCAGAAGCTGGTTCTTTGAAAAGATTCATAAAGTGGACAAACCTTTAAGCAGACTCATCAAGAAAAAAAGGGAGAGGACCCAAATTAATAATATCAGAAATGAAAGAGGAGAAATAACAACGGATACCACAGAAATACAAATGATCATCAGAAACTATTATGAACAATTATATGCCAAGAAATTTGAAAATCTGGATGAAATGGACAAATTTTTAGAAAAGTATAATCTTCCAACACTGAAGGAGGAAGAAACAGAAAGCTTGAACAGACCGATAACAGCTGGGGAAATTGAAGCAGTCATCAAGAAACTCCCGGCACACAAAAGCCCAGGGCCAGACGGTTTCCCAGGAGAATTTTACAAAACATTTAAGGAAGAGCTAACCCCTGTCCTTCTCAGACTATGCCAAAAAATCCAAGAGGAGGTAAGACTGCCAGACTCCTTCTATGAGGCCAGCATCACCCTGATCCCAAAACCCGATAAAGACCCTACCAAGAAAGAAAACTACAGGCCAATTTCGCTGATGAACATAGATGCTAAAATCCTCCACAAAATATTGGCAGACCGCATCCAGCAATACATTCAAAAGATTATCCATCACGATCAAGTGGGATTCATCCCAGGGATGCAGGGATGGTTCAATATACGCAAATCAGTAAACGTGATACAGCACATAAACAAAAGAAAAGACAAAAACCACATGATCATCTCAATAGATGCAGAAAAAGCATTTGACAGGGTACAGCACCCATTTATGATCAAAACACTCAGCAAAATGGGAATAAATGGGGCATTCCTCAATGTAATAAAGGCCATATATGAAAAACCTACAGCTAATATCATACTCAACGGGCAAAAACTGAAAGCTTTCCCACTAAGATCGGGAACACGACAAGGATGTCCGCTTTCACCGCTTCTTTTCAATATCGTATTGGAAGTCCTAGCCACAGCGGTCAGACAAGAGAAAGAGATAAAAGGCATCCAAATAGGAAAGGAGAAAGTAAAACTATCATTGTTTGCAGATGACATGATAGTGTACATAGAGAACCCTGTAGACTCTACCAAAAAACTCCTCAACCTAATAAGTGAATTTGGCAAAACAGCAGGATACACAGTCAACATTCAGAAATCAAAGGCGTTTTTGTACACCAGCAATGCAATAGAAGAAGAAGAAATCAGAAAAAATATACCATTCGATATAGCACAAAAAAAGATAAAATACCTAGGGATAAATTTAACCAAAGAGGTAAAAGACCTGTATGCAGAAAACTATACAACATTGAAAAAAGAAATTAAGGAAGACACAAATAAATGGAAGCATATACCGTGCTCATGGATTGGAAGAATTAATATCCTCAAAATGTCCATACTACCCAAAGCAATTTATAGATTCAACGCAATCCCTATTAAGATACCAATGACGTATTTCACAGAAATAGAACAGACATTTCAAAAATTTACATGGAACCATAAACGACCTTGAATAGCCGCAGCAATTTTGAGAAAGAAAGACAAAGTAGGAGGGATCACAATACCGGACATCAAACTCTACTACAAAGCCACCATACTCAAAACAATCTGGTACTGGCACAAGAACAGACCCATAGACCAGTGGAACAGAATAGAAAGCCCAGAAATAAGCCCAGGTCTCTATGGACATCTAATATTTGACAAAGGGGGCAGAAGCATAAAATGGAGCAATAACAGCCTCTTCAACAAATGGTGTTGGGAGAGCTGGACGGCTACATGCAAAATATTGAAATTGGATCATCAGCTGACACCATACACAAAAATAAACTCAAGATGGATAAAAGACTTAAATATAAGTCGCAACACCATCAAAGTCCTCGAGGATAACATTGGCAGGAAACTCTGAGATATCCCACGCAGCAATTTTTTCACTGATATGTCTCCTAAAGCAAGGGACATAAAGGAAAGAATAAACAAGTGGGACCTCATCAAAAT